ACACACATGTGCAAATACCAAATAGTTTCTCTGGTGTGAGAAACTGAAAATGTAATTAAGGATTAAAATGGCTAAAATGAATAATTGATAATCTGAAATATGAAGAAAAGGTTCAAAGGGTAGGGGTGGCCAGAGGGGAAGGTGAGAGATCAGAGCTACAGGCTTGAATCTGGAAAGAATCCATATATAGATTGTGTCTAAAATTACAGGAAGAGATGTAGATAGAGACTAGGCTGGAGCTCATCAGTGGGTTGGGAAGGAAGAGTCATTGAGATCAAACGAGAGAAAGGTATGTTTCCAGAAGAAGCACATACAACATACACAGTATTCTATAGTGTGATAAATGACTGTTTCTGTTTTAGGTACTTATCATAACATGCTGTGCTTTTCATCCTTTAGAGTATAATCCTAGTTATATAAAAGCGTTTATTGTAAAACAGTTCTACTATCCCAGTGGTAGCCTCATGTATCTTGTGTTTAACTACATATTTGGATAATATCAAGGGACCATCACAGATGATTGACATATACCTTTTCAGTTTGTACTTAGAAGTTGGCACTCTGTGTGGTATTTTATGATACACATGGATGAAATTGCCTAATAACATATTTCCATCACGTGTCGTATGACTGTATTGAAATTTAAATTTAAAAAAAAATGTGGCCTATGTGGAGTCTACTAGCTAACTAGAATTTTTTTTTTCCAGACCACTATTTGTTCAATATTGGTTTTGAAAACCTTTTTAAAACAAATCACATCCTCTAATGTTTTGTTAATGCTTGAGATGATTTTTTAAATTATATGGAAAAATGTTTAAGTACTTTTCAGTTTTGTTTTGGTTGAGTTCTACTCTATTTGAATATTATTATAGTTTTTTTCCCCTTGCATTGTTTTTCTTTGAATAATTTTAATTTTTATATATGTGTGTGTTTGATAATAAAGTTATACATTTTAAAATTTAAAAAAAAATTAAAACTTTGGTCTTTCAAAGAACACTTACCAAGAATGTAAAGAAGGGCTGGGAATTTAGCCCAGTGGTTCCACTGCCTCCCTCGAAAGCACAAGGTCCCGAGTCATAGAATGGGCAAAAGTTTTTGCAAATGATATCTGATAAGAGACTTTCATTTTGGGGCCGGGGATTTAGCTCAGTGGTTTCGCTGCCTGCTGCACAAGCGCAAGGACCCGAGTTCGATCCCCGGTACAAAAAAAAAAAAGAGAGAGAGAGATTTTCATTTCAAATATAAAAATTGCTATTACAACTCAATAATTAAAGGACAAATAACTCAATTTTAAAAATAAGCACTGTTTTGGATGCATCTCAGCGATAGAGTGTTTATGTGGAATGCACAAATGTTCCCAGAACAGCAAAAAAAAAAAAGAAAAGAAAAGAAAAAAAGGGGGGGCTGGGGAAACAGATCAGAGATGTAGGCTTTGTAGTTATTGAGGAAAAAATATACTAAATTCCAATCTTTAAAATAAATTCCTTTCTATAAATTGTTCTCACATAAAAAGTTTGTTGGTTTGGTTTGGTTTGGGTTTTGTTTTTTTGAGTCAGGGTCTCACTATGTAGTCCAGGCTAGTCTTGAACTCACTGTATGTCTCAGGCTGGGCTTGAACTCATAGCAGTCCCCTTGCCACAGCCTCCCAACTGCTGAGATTACAGGCATGCAAAAGTGATTTTTTTGGTACCGGGAATTGAACTTGGGATCTTGTGCTTGTGAGGCAGATGGTGGAACCACTGAGTTAAATCCCCAGCCCACAAAATAACAAAAGTTATTTTTTAAGGCCAGAAAACCTGCATTCTGTTTACAATATTTATAACCACTTTACTAGGGGTTTTTTCCATTCAAAGGTATAGAAACCTAGGTGACACTAGCCAAAATGAATGAAAGTGAAAAGTTCAAAAGTATAGTTAGCTTCAGACATGGCTGAATTTGGAGCCCAGACAATATAGTTTCTCTCTCCCTCCGTCTCTCCCTCCCTTCTTCTCTCCCCGCTCTCTGCAGCTCTTAATGTTTTAAAGCCAATATCTAAAAAGAAACTGCTCATTCTAAGTACAATAAAAATCAAAACCACTATTACCTATAAGCCTTGGATTAGCAAAAGTAATGTATAACAAAATATTACTGTAATTATTTTCAAATTCAGTGTCATCTTTTTAAGGCAATAGAATGAATATGCAAATAGTGCCTATAATACTATAATATTAGAGTGGTACTTGTAAATTGTTTTTTCTTAGGAATACATAAAAAGAAACACCACCTGCAATATTCTTGTATGATAAAGTGAGATGGCTCAAAATTCCAATTTTAATTATATAAATGCATCACAGTTTTTCAATTTTTATTATGGGTCCACTGGTTAGAATTTAATTGCACATGTAAAAAGATTTAAAGCTGTTATTTTGTCCATAATTTCATATGCTCCTATCATAGTTAGTGCCCGAACTAGTTGGTTTCTTAAAGTAGCAGCAGTTAGTGATAAGTTTTCTGTTTTCCACTGAACAGATGCTTGGTAGGCTCTTTCATTTAATGAAACAGTGCTGAAAAAAATTAAAATAACAATTATAAGTTAAGAATATTATTTTAAACTACTTAAATATTTTTTATCTAAGTTTTCAAACCAATTCACCAGAGTCTGAAGTTAATTGGTAAAGGGAGTTTATGGCAAAGGTTAGCAGAGTTCAGCATATAGAAAGTGAATGTTAGCTTTATCCTATCTCTGTTTTGTTATAAAAAGACAACAATTCAACTTACATTCAATTCTCAAGATCTCAAAACCAATACAATATTGCTACTGTACTGCATGCTATCTTCGTCTCATTGATCATCATGACAGCTCTTTTAGTATACCCATTTTACCAGTGATGAAACTGAGTCATAAAGAGTTTAAAGGACTTGCCCAAGGTCATAAAGCCAGCTGGGATAAAAGGCAAGTAGAGACCTTTCTCTTTATCACATTATATCACAAATATATAATAAACTAAAATGAGTCTTCTACAGTAAAGTACAATAATATGAATGTTTCAATACCATGCAATATTAGTGTAATCAGAATATGAGAATAAACTTTTAGCAAAAGCTGTCATTCATACCTACCTCTTTGTAGGGACATCAGTTTCTGAGTTTCTCAGGTTTAGTTTTTGACACAAAAATTCAAAATTTGTTTTAGTGATATTGTTGGCAACTATCTTGAGTATCTTCTCTAAGATTTTCTCTACATTTGAACATAAAAGAAAATTTAAGCTATTTCTTTCTAAAAAATACTCTATTTTGAGTTAATTATCTGTGCTTGTATCAAATGTATGTGTCAAGTAAAATTGAAAATGCCAATACAGATCTAAAATATGAACCAAAATTTAAACCATTATTTCCATTTCTTCTAAACTCTGAAAAGTTCTACTACTTAAAATAGCTTTTAAGAGGATATTATAAGCAACTTTCCCTCTTTCTTTTTTGTTTGTTCTTTCCTTCCTTCCTTCCTTTCTTCCTTTTTCTTTCCTTTCAAGACAGGGTCTTGCTCTGTAGTTTAGGCTGGTTTTTAAATCAGTATGTAGCCCAGGATGGCCTTGAACTCAAAGCAATCCTCCTGCCTCAGGCTCCTGAGTGCTGGGACTACAGGCTTGCCCACCACACCCAGCCAAGCAATTTTAAAGTGACTTCCAAACTCTTTTTTTTTTTTTTTGGTACCGGGGATCAAACTCCGGTCCTTGTGCTTGTGCAGCAGGCTGCAAAACCACTGAGCTAAATCCCAGGCCCCTATTTGTTATGGTTTTTGTCTGCATGTCTTCCCAAGGCCTCATGTGCTCAGAGGCAAGGGCTTTTGGAAAGTGATTGGTTTATAGGGGTGCTGCCATTGGCTTGATGTTGGAAGCTGGGGCCTGGTCCAAAAAGGCAGGTCACTGGAGGCATGACCTGGAAGGGTGTATCTCCCTGGCCAGGTCTTCCCTTGGCTCTCTGCTTCCTGGCTTTCATGATATGAGCAGCTTTTTGTCTCCATGTTCCTCTGCCATGCTGTTTCTTTCTTGGAGCATGCTAAGGACTGAAATGTGAACCATAATAAACATCTCCTTTAAGTTATGGGTGTTGGATGTTGTATCTTAGCAACAAGGAAGTGACTAAGACAATAGTCAATCACTCATCATGTACCATCTCTTTCATCTGCCCTCTGTAGATAGCAGGCAATAGTATACAACTGTTTTCCTTCACAGATTTCCATTGGAGGTGTCAGCAAAGGGTTGTCATCAAAATTTATCTCCTTCAGTGAAACAAGATTATGGATGGCACTAGGCAGAGCTGTCAGATTATTTCCTAGTAGAAAAAAAGTTATGACTGAATACTTTTCTGTAAAATTAAACTATGGAGACAAATAAGAGTGATGTATGGAGAATTACTGTCTTGGCAAACTGCCTGAGGACCCTTAAAATGCTGACAGGTCCTAAGTTCCTACTAATTTCCGTGTGCTGGGAGTGAAAGGGAGTGTGTACAGAAGCAGCTGTGACTCCTTTCTCTCCTGGGGTGACAAAATGAGACCGGAGATTATCCTCTTAACAATACAGCAAAGGGTTTCACACAGTGGGTTCATGTTTTAAGGCAAAATGTTTTATCTGAAATAAACTTAGGTTTGCAGAAAGATTGGAGAGATTGTAGTGTGTTCCTATGTACTCTTCATTGTTTCAGTTTTCCTTTTATCTCATACTGTCATATTACTTCTGTCCAATCTTAGAAACCAACCCTAGTACATTACACTATTAACTAAATCTTAGACTTTTTTGAATTTATTAGTTCTTCAATCAGTGTCCTTTCTTTGTTCCAGAATCCATTCTAGATACCACATTGGATATATTCACATCTTCTTAGTAACCTATGGTCTGTGACAGTTTCTCAGTCTTTCCTTGTTTTTTCATGACTTGACAGGTTTTTTTGTTTTTGTTTTGTTTTGTTTTTGAGAAAAGGTCTCGCTATGTAGTTCAGACTAGCCTCAAAGTCACTATGTAGCCCAGGATGGCCTCGAACTCATGGCGATCTCCCTGCCTCAGCCTCCCAAGTGCTGGGACTATAGGTGTGCACCACCATGCCCAGCAACCTGACAGTTTTGAGGAGTACTGGTTTGGAATTTTTAGAGTGATCTGTAACTTGAATTTGTCAGATATATTTTCACATGATTAGCCTGGGATTGTGGAATTTTTTGGAAAGAGTGGCTAGGAGTGAAATGTCCTAATCACATCATGTCAGGGATATCTGCTATCCATACGACATCACTAGCAGTGTTAACCTCAGTCATTGGCTAATACAGTATGTACCAAGTTTCTCTAATGTTATGTTGCCATGCTTTTCTTTTCTGTGCTCTATTCTTTGGAAGTAAGCCACCTTTAAAGTCTTGACCATCCTGTGGTTGCTTTGGCAGCACATATACTAAAATTGGAATGATACAGAGAAAATTAGCATGGCCCCTGCGCAAGGATGACACGTAAATTCGTGAAGCGTTCCATATTTTGAAAAATATTTTAGCAGCTGTACCTCAGACAAAGGTCTACTATCTAGAATATATAAAGAATTGAAAAAAATCAGGACCCCCAAATTCAAAGACCCAGTTCAAAAATGGGCACCTGAAAAGAACAGACATTTCTCAGACAAAGAAGTAAAAGTAGCAAATAAATACATGAAAAAATGTTGAACACCACTGGTCATTTGAAAGATGCAGATGAAAACACCACTGAGATTCCACCTCACCCCAGAAAGAATGGCTACTATGGAGAAATCAACCAAAAACAAATGCTGGCGGGGGTGTGGAGAGAAAGGAACCCTTCTCCATTGTTGGTGGGGGTGCAGACTGGTGCAACCACTGTGGAAATCAGAATGGAGACACCTCAAAGAACTAGGGCTAGAGGTCCCATTTGACCCAGGTATTCCCCTGCTGGCTATCTACCCCAAAGAATTAAAAGAATCATACCACAGCGATGTATGTGCACCCACATTTATAGCAGCACAGTTTATAATAGCTAAAGCTTGGAAGCAGCCCAAGTGCTCATCAACTGGAAACTGGATAAAGAAGATGTGGGTTTTTTTATAAAATGGAGTACTACTCAGCCATAAAGAACAAGAAAACTAGAGTCATTTATAGCTAAATGGATGCATATTGAGGCCATCCTCTTAAGTAAAATAAATAGGACACACATGTACAAATACCAAATAGTTTCTCTAGTGTGAGAAACTGAAAGTGTAAATAAGGATTAAAATGATTAAAATGAATAACTGATAATTTGAAATAGGAAAAAAGGTCTGAAGGTGTAGGGGTGGTGGGACAGGAAGGGGAAAGGAAAGAAGGGAAAGAAAATATTATGAGAAAAGAAAAAAATGGAAATGAAATCTATGAAAATAGGGAAGGGTGGAGGGGGTGAAGGGCGCACAGGTAATGGGGAAAAAAATGAGAACCAAGATATGTCATGTACAGGTACACACACCCAATGATAAATGTAACCATATTGTATACCTAAAATGTACCAATAAAAGAATTTTTAAAAAATAAAAAATAAATTGAGAGGGGGAAAAAAAAAGCCTTGACCATTCTCAGTAGAGCAAAATGATTAAGCTTCACCTTTCTTAATGTACTTTTTATCAATACCACCTTAATCTAATGTAAAACTAGCATAAAAAGTAAAACTGGTAACAATTGTGATCACTTAGAAGACCTACAGTTTGTCTTTATATTATTTATAGATTTCATAGTTGTATTATTTATAAATATATAGAGGAACCGTTTTCTGTTTGGGGGTTGGTATTTTTTTTAGTAGAGAATGGTATTTAGAAATCAAGATGGGGGCAGGGCATGCAAAACAGTGGCAGAGTATTTACATAATATGTGCAAGGCCCTAAGTTCAATCACCAGCACCACAAAAAAATGTCTACACTGCTGCGCAAGCACAAGGACCCGAGTTCGATCCCCGGTACCAAAAAAAAAAAATGTCTGCAAAGTATAAAAACATCTATTCCTGGTACAAAAAAGAAGTATAGAAACAAAGATTTGGGCTATATTCTTTGCTTCTGAGAATATGTATATATATATCTATAGATATAGATATCTATAGATATATTTTTTGGTACCAGGACTCGAACTCAGGGCCTTGTGTTTGCCAGGAAGGCACTGAGCTACATCCCCAAGAGAGTGTATATATATTATAAATCTAGAATATGCCAGGCTTGGTGACACATGCCTGTAATCCCAGCACTCAGAAGGCTGAGGCAGGAGGATTGCCATGAGTTCAAGGCCAGCCTGGGCTGCATAGTGAGTTCAAGGCCAGCCTGAACTACACAGTAAGACCCTGTCTCAAAAAAACAAAATTAATAATAATCATCATCATCATCATCATCATCATTTTAGAATACATATGTATGTTATAAATTACAGCAGATAGTCTTTAGGGCCTGTGTGTTTTCATGTGCCACTTGAGATTCAACAAAGTTCTTATAGATATCAACCGTTTCATTCCCTTTTTTTTCATTCAGTTTACTGGTACATTTTAGATATACAATATGATGACATTCATCATTGGAAATTTGTACCTTTACATGATATATCTTGATTCTTGTTTTTTTCCCCATTCCCCTGCCCTCCCTTCAACCCCTCCACCCCTCCCTATTTACAAATACTATTCATTCATAAAGAATGAGAAACTAGACATTTATAGCTACATAAATGCACACTGAGGCCATACTCTTAAGTGAAATATGTAGAACACACAAATGTAAATACCAACTTGCCTTCTTGCACTATCTAGGACTTGTTTTTTGAAAAACATAGTTTGTTATACCATGTTTGCTTTTTATATATGTAGTAAGAAGTTCATATGGCTTTTCTGTAGCCTATTGATATGATAAATTATGAGTTAATTTTAAAATGTCAACTCAGACTTGCATTCCCAGTATAAATCTTACTTCATGATATATAATAATTTTTTATATTGATGGATTTGATTGCTTTTTCTTAAAGAATTTTTCATCAATGTTCATGCAGGATATTGTTCTATATATTTTTGACAAGAAATGTCTCTGTTTCATTATACTGTCAGGATAATGCTGGCTTCAGCTTTATAAAAGATAATTTTTAAATTGACATTGTTTCTTCTTTAAATACTTGATAGAATTTACAAGTAAAAGTATCTGGGCTTGCAGTTTTGTGTAAAAGCTTTTAACTATAAATTTAATTACATGAATAGATTAAGCACTATCTATTACCCACCACCATTGATGCTAAAGGATAATTCAACTCCTTCTGTATCGGTCAGTATAGTCAATAGAATAGAACACATGTAATGTTACGTCACTTTCAAGATTAAGTCTTTAAAGATACTGTTGCTCCTATCTTGGTTGCATTCCGTGTCACTCACTCTCCCATTTTTCGTGTCACAACAGGCTCATAAGGCAAGGAACTAAAGCCTGCTGCCAATAGTCTTGTGAGTAAATTTGGACACAGATCCATTAATCCCAATAAAGCCTGACTGTAGCCCCAGTTGACAAGTTGACTGAAATCTCATAAAAGACTCTTACATAGAACAAGTCAGCTAAACTGCTCCTAGATTCCTGATTCTCATTAATTTAAGAAGCTAAATGTGTGGAAATTTGACACACAACCATAGTTAACTAATATAATAGCTAATGGCCAAAAGTACTGAGCTGTGATATGAAGAGCTGCCAAATTCAGAGAAGGAGTTTGTAGTTTTAGTCCAGTGACAATATAAGTGCGTGGGGACAATGACAACAACAATAACAAAATTCAACCTTTTTTTTTTTTTGGTACCGGGCATCGAACTCGGGTCCTTGTGCTTGCGCAGCAGGCAGCAAAACCACTGAGCTAAATTCCCGGCCCTAAAATTCAACATTCTTTGGAGAAAAACTTGCAAAGTCTTTGACTCAAAATATACATAAAATGTGGCAGGCACACTCTCAAGAGAAAAGAGGACTTAGTTGTTGTTCCTAACATATGAGTTTTTAAAGCCATTATTGTGCTCAAGAATGTAAAGAAAGATATGCCATAATACATGAAAACATTAGGAGTAAAATACAATCTATAAAAAATAGAAATTCTAGAGCAGAAAAATATAATATCTGAGAAAAAATTAATTGGCTGGACTTGGAATAGAGATTATGGAAGAGTCTATGAACTTGAAAACAGATTAATACAAGATTACATACATACAACACACTAGAGAGAATATTACAGAATTTTAAGGATGTGTGAGTCCATATAAAAAGGTAACCAGAACCTCAGGAGACAGAATAAGGCAGAAAGAATATTTCAAGAAAAATGAAAAATCTCCAAATTTGGAAAAATACATCGAAAATAATATACAATGAAATCCAATAATATACAAAAAAAAGTCATAAGATGGATGTCATGGAAAATATTGGGTAGGATACATAAAGAACCAGGTTTTACTGAAATATAAATTGGCAAAGACTTAGAATTATTTTCAGAACTCTAGAATTTAATCTAAATCATACAGCAAGCAAGAAATTGCTTAATGATGAAAATGAGCAGAATTTTGGTAAGAGCGCTATGACCTTTTCATTCACATGGCTATCATCCCCAGTTTCTCAGCATGGCAGCTGAGCTAATGTGAGCTGGTGTGAGAGAGCGGATATAAAGCTTGTTCTTAAAATCCTGTGTTTGCACATTTTAACCTGTCCTGTGCTTCTCTCAGAGACTACCACAGACGCTGCCCTTTATTTTGCTCTTCTTACAGGGGAGAGCAGCTTTCTAATGGTGCTTATTGTAATATTTAAAGCCACACACTGTCCTATAGTTCTTTTGTTCCTTTTTCACTTTTGCTGTATTCCTTTGTCTTTTACTGATTTTCCACCCATAAACATACACACATCCAAACTGCTAGCACTAATAAATTCAGCAAGGCTGCAAGATACAAAATCAATATATAAAAATTTGTTGTGTTTCTATACACTAACAATGAAGAGTCCAAAAAGGAAATTAAGAAAGCAATTTCATTTATTATATGACATCAGAAAGAACAAAATACAGTAGTTTTGTCTAACATACATCTAAGCAGAGCTCCAAAAAACTGAAGAAAGAGTGGTATGCAAACAATGTTTTAGGAGATAATGGTTCAGAATCCTCCACAACACTTGAAAAACGTCAATCTACAGACACCAGAAGCCCAACAAAAGCCAAGAGGAGTAAATAGAAGAATCCACTCACAGTCATCCACAGAATAAACCCACATAAATCCAAAAATAGGAACTCTATTATTTGCAAAAGATGTATCTGATAAAGGACTATTATCCAAAATATACAAAGAATGCTTAAAACCTAACAATAAAAAACAACTGAAAAAAACCCCCTAAAAATAGACCAAGGATTTCAACAAACACCTCACCAAAGTAGTACAGATGGCAAACAAGCAGATGAAAAGATGCTCTACATCTACATTATCCAACATAAAGCAACTATTGAAAATATGTTCACCTTCACCAGCTGGATCATAAAATCTTTATGGCAAGAATTAGATCCTGTACTTTGCTCTCATTTTCTGTAACTAGGACAGCCTTATTTCTCCAGTGGGCACATAATACAGTATGTTGACTATTAGCCATTATGTATCTTGTCAGCAGAATTTGCGACTCAGACCTTTTATTGATTTATTGATTCTGCTTAACACTCACCACTCAAGCTTAGTTGTTGGAGCTCTTTCAAAGTTAAAAAAGATAGTGGAAGATAACTTATTTGATTATTATATGCATAAAAACTAACCAGACTTCTCAATTCCCCTATATTCCTTGGAATCTCTTTGATTGCATTATTTGAGATATCAAGTTTTTTAAGTTGAGTCATATTAGACAGCTCTTCTGGAAGTCTGGTTAACTGTAACAAAGAATAAACAATTATGGTTTATAAATCCATACATAGCTGTATGACTAAAGTTTTCTCTAAAAGCAAATGAAAGGAGAGAGTTTCGTTTGTTTTTGTTTTGTCTTAGGACATATTTTCATTCTATAACAGATTCTTTGTAACTTCTTCTGATAGCTGGAATCCATAAGATACTGTGTGGCACCAAAGTACTTCCCAACCTGATCAAGGCTACCAATTCAAACCCTGTAGTTTGCCAACCCATTTTCTTCATTCTCCCAATGCTCAATGTTCACTGTCTCTTTTTCCTTTTTTTTCTTCCTAAATTTGACCCTCTTTGCTTTTTTTTTTCTCCCCGACGTTTTTCCCAGTATCTCTATCTCACATTTGATATCTGTATACCCATTCTCATCAACCTTGTCATTTACTCATTGTTTGTTTTCCTTGAATTCTTTGTTTTTTGTTGTGTTTTTTTTTTTTGGTGCTGGGGATCGAACTCGGGTCCTTGCGCTTGCCCAGCAGGCGGCGAAACCACTGAGCTAAATCCCCGGCCCTTTCCTTGAATTCTTAATGCAATAGGCAGGTTTTGTACTTTCTGTGTATGTGTTTACAGGCACAGTGGATTCTGAGGAACTGCTCAATAATTGAGTCACATAGTTGAGCAATGTGGCCTCAAAAATTCCTAGTATAAAGTGTTGCAAAATAATAGTAGTTATAAAATTCTGTTAATGCGGCTAGGGATTTAGCTCAGTGGTTCCACCGCCTGCCTTGCAAGAACAAGGACTGGAGTTCAATCCCCGGTACCAAAACAAACAAACAAACAAAAAACATTATTAAAGTTAAGAAGAAAATATGCATAGAGAAAATAAGGACATTTTGAGTGGCTTTTGTTCTATGAGTGAACAAAAGAATTTTGAATATGTACTCCCCCCAGAAATAACTAAACAATGAGGAACATATGGGATATTGTGTTCAGTGTTCTTCCAGATATGAATGTAGTGCAAGAGACTCTCTCTGACTTCAAGGAGATTACAGTTTGGTCCAGGGAAAACACAGACATATGAAACAATTAAGCACTAGATAATCCAATGTCAAAATAAAGAGTACAAATAATAACAGTTGTATAAAAATTTATAGGCAGTATATCCCTGTTATGGCTTATATCTAGATGTCCCCCCAAAGCCTCATGTGGTCATAGGTAGGGCTTTTTCAGAGGTGGCTGGATCTAGAGGGTACAATGCTGGGATTTTGGGTGTGTGATTACTAAATTAGTCCACTGACTGGTTTGGCATAGTTCTAAGTCTGAATATAAATGGACAGAAAGAAGCTGCTATTGCCACTTGTCCCTTGTCACCTACTTGCTGCTTGGTGCCTTCTGCCTGCCCTGATTTGCCATGGACTGTCTATCCTCTGTGATGCTTCTCTACCATGCCACCCTGCCTTGGAGCTGGCCAACTACAGACTGAAATATCTTTGAACTGTATGCCAAATAAACCTCTTTTTCTTCCTTTAACTTTGCATGCTGGTATTTTGTCTCAGCAATGAGAAGAGTAACTAAGACAATACCTATAAATGAGAGAATTAAAGGAAAACTTCCTATAGAAGATGTAACTTGAATAGCCTTAAGAATTAATAGGATTGGATAAAAGTAGATGGAATGAATAATGGTATGTATATGTTTAGAAAGCTGCTTTTGTTCTAAAAGACACAATCGCTTCTCGGCCTTTTGGCTAAGATCAAGTGTACTAAAAGACACAAAGTTCTGCAATACAATCATAACCTAATTACTTGACTAATTTATAATCTCACTCTCTCTTCTTATATTTTCACTGTGTCTCCAAGGACACTTAAAGCAAGACAAATCATGCATTAAAATGGCTAGTGAGGGGCTGGGGGATTTAGCTCAGTGGCACCACACCTGCCTCTAAAATGGCTAGTGAGAAGCTGATCAGTAAGGAGAAATGATAGGAAGCAGACAGAGAAGAGATGTTAGGATAAGGAGTGGACAGTCTGGTTATTGCAAGATAGGAGAGCTACACCTATAAAGTAGGAGTTAGAGCAACACAGATAGACAGGCTTATCCTTTGAGTTTCCTTCAAACAAATATTCTTTAACGACTTGCTCTATATTTATTAGAAGACATGTCTGAGAGCTGTGTGATGATAGAATACTGTTGAGGGAAGACTCCTATTGAGCATCCTTGTAGCAAAAGCTCTGTCATTAGCCTGACTCATTTTCCTTAGATGATTGGTTAGTATTACATATATTAATTCTTTGGACATTTTACCTCCAACCCAAATGGGTTATCATGGTAATATTTTCAATCACACAGGATATTCTTCTAGAGAGGAGAATTTTTGTGTGTGTGTTAGGTTGGTTGGTTTGGTTTGGTTTGGTTTTTTGAGATAGAATCTTGCAATGTAGTTCAGGCCGGCCTTGAAATTCATGGTGATCTTCCTGCCTCAGCCTCCCAAGGGTTCAGATTATAGGCATGCACCTCCATGCCTGGCTTAGGAGTGGAGACCCGGAGACTTTTAAAATGATATTGTACCACCTGTCTCGCAAGCATGAGGTCCTGAGTTCAATCCCCGGTACCAAAAAATAAAATAAAATGATACTGTAATGCTGAGGACTGGTGCCTTTGGCAACCACCTACTTTGAGTAGAGATAGGTATACATTCTACATTCTTAAACATAGATATACATCAAGAACAGTCCTGTGAAATGAAGTCTGATATCTTTGACAAGGTCTGCTAAAAAGGAAGAGACTGAGTCAGAAAGAATAGCTAGGGGATTTCTAGTATAATTTAGGTGTGAAGTGAATGATGACCATGGGCCAGGATGGAGGCAATGACATTGGAAATTCCAGGGAAAACTGGGACTATGGGACTAGCACATTGGTCCACATAGCTCCTGTTATGTAGATTTGAGGCATATCCACAAAGAGTTAATATAAAAGAGAAAGTTAAGAGTACAACTTTGGAGACATAGTGAAAATACAAGAGGAGAGAATGAGATTATAAACTAGTCAAGGAATTAGTTCATGATTTATTGGAGAACTTTGTGTCTTTTAGTACAAAAGCAACTTTCTAAACACATACATACCATTATTCATTCCATCTACTTAAGCAAGTATTATCCAAAGTAACCTTGCTAGAAATGTATTACATAGTATATAGGTGCTATATTTAAAAGGTCAGGGCTGGAGATGTAGCTCAGTGGTTCCGCCGCCTGCTGCGCAAGCGCAAGGACCGGAGTTTGATCCCCGGCACCAAAAAAAAAAAAAAAAGGTCAAATAATTTTGGCCCTGAGCTATATCTCCACATCTTTGTATTATTATCAATCATTATTATTATTATTATTATTATTATTATTAGGCTTTTGCTCCTTTGGTCATGGAACTACCGTTTTTAGGAACAGACTTTGGGAAATCTTGATGTAGATAGTAATCTTGTATTAAAGATAGCCAGATAATTTCTATGGTTCCTGATATCGTAGGATAAATCAGTAATTTAAAAAATTTTGCAAAGTATTTCTGAGCCTGGGAGTATAGCTCAATAATAGAGCACAAGCTTAGCATGCATGAGGTACTGGATTCAATCTCCAGGACCAAACAAATATATTTTTAAAAATAAAATTCACTCTTCATTTATGAGGAAATTAAAATGGTATATTAACACTGATGTAGCAATTCTTCAGGGAAACTTCCTAAGGATACAGTTTAAAATATGAAAAAGCTTGTATATGAAGAAACTTATCACAGAATTATTGTGAAGAAAATTACAACATTGTTAATGCTTAATGACAAAGGATTAGTTATTTAAATAATGTACTGATTTCAAAATTTTGGGGAAGATTGTATCAAGGAGAAATGGTTATGATGAGTGGAAATTATTTTAAATTGAATGTATGGACTTTTTATAGTTGCTTATAAAACCATTCCCACATGAAAAAAAGGACTAAAAGTAAGTTGACTCCACATATGCCAGTAATTTTTTTACAATAGTACACTTGTGAGATGATTTTTTAAAAAAACTTATTTTCTTAACTTTCTGATTTTCAACAATGTGTTTATATGAAATTTGTAATTTTAAACTCCTTTTACAATAAACTGAAATAAAAAGAAATCTACAAAATTATCAGCTTTATTTGCTTAGCTTTGCATTTTAATGAAATAGTTTTCTGCAAAGCTTTTATGTTAAAAAGTGTATCTGTAAGCCATGTTTTGGCAGTAGTTGGAAGGGGCCTATCCTTTAACAAACAGCATTTCAAGTAAGTTTAAAACACACATACATATCCATGCAGATACATATACTACACCCTGGATTCTGATCTCTTCTAGTTCTTCTTTTCCCCAAAGCCCAAAATATCAGTCTCTTACCTTTGTCCCATTTGACTGACTTATATCCAGCTCTTCCAGTGATTGAAGTTGGCACAGTTCAGTAGGAAAATGTATAAATTGGTTGCTTGAGAAATTTAATTTCTGGACTCCTTTTAAATTACATATCTCTGAAGGAATTGTCCATAATTGGTTTTCAGAAATATCAAGTACTTGCAGTTTTTCTAAAATACACAATTCTCTAGGGAAAGTTTCAAACTTATTACAGCATAAAATAAGTACATGGAGTGATACCATATTGGAAATAGATGGCGGAATTTTCCTTGTTTGGTTTTTACCAAGATTCAGAAATTTAAGATTAATAAGAGAACATAAGTGATCAGGAAATACAGTGAGTTTGTTTTCATTTAATTCTAAGTGAACCAATTGTTTACTGAAAGATACATCTACAGGTATTTCTGAAATAGAATTTCCATTAAAACTCAAATAATAAAGTGAATCCAAAGCACACAGTCCCACTGGGAATTGCTGTATTTTATTATAATTCAATTCAACTTTAGTTAATTTTCTGCAATTTTTTATTTCAATGGGAATATTTTTTATTATATTTCCTGAAAATTCCAGGCTGCATATATTATTAAGATGGGAGATATCTTCAGTTATTCTCACCATATAGTTTCTATTTACATGGAGTTTTCTTAAATTTTTAAGTTTATAGATGTTCTTAGGGAGTTCTATTAATTTATTATCACTAAGACTAAGGCGTTCCAACATTACACAGTAGGAAATTCTCTCTGGTATTTTTTTCGCTAAATTTTTATCAAGTGTAAGAATCCTAAGTTCTTTAAAATTCTCAATTTTGTGTGAAATGACCTCCAATTTATTGTCAGTTAGTTGGAGTTCTTTTATTTTATTTAATTGAAAAATTTCCACGGCCAAAAAGGTAAGTTTATTATGATCCAGTAAAAGGTTTTCTAAACTTTTAAGTTCCCTAATTTCTTTTGGCAAACTGCCTATCATATTCCCAGTAAGGTTTAGTGAAATTAATTTTGGAAGGAAGCAGAGAGCTTTAGGAAATATTGTTAACTTATTATATTCCAGATCAAGAATTCTCAAGTTTTGCAAATTAGGCAGAGTGTTTGGTATGTGTCTTAATTTATTTTTACTTAAACTTAAAATTTCCAAGTTTCTAAGACTTTCTATGCCAGGAGAAGGAAAATTCTCAATATAACTGTCATTTAAAAATAGTTGCCTTATATTCCCAAGATGCAATATTTCTTTAGGTATATGTGATATTTGGTTGTGACTAACATTTAATATCCTTAAATTATGAAATAACAAAATTTCACATGGAAGTGATGATAACTCGTTATCTCGCAAGGATATAATTTCAAGTCCTAGCAGATCATTTAAATCTGCCCCTTGAAAAGTTTTTATTTTATTATTATCTAAGTATAGGTATTTTACATGTTTAACTTTTAAACTGTCCTTAGGGAATTCTTGCAAACCCTTAGCCTCAAGATTAACTGTAAAGTTATCTGACCCTAAGTCAAATCCTTCCCGGTATTCTTCAGAGACTTGTGCATTAACTTTTCTTACACTTTCATGAGACAGGATGCTAACTAAAGCTTGAGAGTCAGTACTCATTTCAGTTACTGATAATGATGAACTTCGTGAAGTTTCTGGTTCTGACAGTGGGCTGGCATCTCTAGTGCTTGTTTCAGAAAACTGAACATTTTGTTTTTGTTCTTCATTTTCATTAGACTTGCTACCAGTAGAAGACGTTGACTTTAATGAATCCTTTTCAGTAAGAGTTTCATAAATCGTGTTAGAAGAGTTCCCTTCCAGGTAATGAAAAGCTTTATTTAATGAATTTGATGTTTCTGTGATAAATTCAGACTCCTCCATTGACTGTGACCTAAATTGCCTAGTTATATCCTCTAGGTCTGCTGAAGTGCCCTCCTCTTCTGATATCTTATTTGCTGCTAGGTTTTTATATCAGCTCAAGATTGTAACTCTAATTATTCCATGTGTTAGCTCAATGGCACCGTGCCTGCCTGGCAAGCACAAGATCCCAAGTTCGATCCCTGGCACCAAAAAAAAAAAGCAAAATAGAGAATAACAATAGTTAATACACTATGTATCCTAATCTTAAAAGAATGGCCAAAATATTACTCAGAGTACAAGTCATACACAAAAAAGACTGTCTCTTACAAAAAAAGAAACATAATAACACAAAACTTTATTTTCAGTGAACTAAGAGAAACTAGCATAAATGAAATAAATTAGCATACATGTTGAAATATTTTTGAAACAATAGAATAGCAAATTTGAGGAATTACTTGAACTTCTTATCTCTCTATCTTCTATTTTGCTCTTTATTTATACATGTATATGTTTTGAGTTTCTCATATAAGAGAAAGCATGCTAAATTTAGGCTGGTGTGTCTGACTTATTTCACTTAACATTATTTCTCAAATTGCATCCAAGCTAGGCATGGTGGTGCATGCCTGTAATCCCAGCACTTGGGAGACTGAGGCAGGAGGATCGCTGTGAGTTTGAGGCCAGCCTGGGTTACGTAGTGAGTTCAAGGCCAGCCTGGACTACATAGTGAGACCCTGTCTCAAAAAAAAAAACAAACAAGCTGCATCCATTTGCCTACAGATGCCTCAAGTTTATATTTATGTTAAAGTAGTACTCCATTCTGTTGATGAACATATATGCTGTTTTCAAGATCTAGCTATTAGCTATTACAAATTGTACTGCTATAAACATGAGTATGCCTGTATTCCTGTAATAGGATGACTTTAACTCTTTTAGCAATGTATGTAGAAGACGGATAGCTGGGTCAAATGGAATTTCTGTTTTTAGTTTTTTCAGGAATCTCTACCCCGATTTCCTTAGTGGTTGTACTAGTTTACATTCCCACCAACAATGTAGAAGATTTCCTTTTTCCCCATATTAACCAGCATTTGTTATTATTAGATTAGAGATAGCAGAAACAACCCTAGACCCATTCAAGTATTTGATCTTTGACAAAGAGCCCCCAAACCCACACTGTAAGAAAGAAAGCCTCTTAAATAAATGGTGCTGGGAAAATTGGATATCCACATGCAGAAGACTGAGTCTAAACCTATATATCTCACCATGTACTGAACTAAAATCAAAATGAATCAAAGATCTAAGTGCCAAAATAAAAATACTTAACCTACTGGAAGTTAAAATAAATGACTCTTGAAGAAATAGGCTTATGCAAAAGGACTTTCTTACAGGACACCAGTAGTATAAGAATAATTCAAGAATCAATAAATGGATTCATATCAAATAAAAAGCTTCTGCACAGCAAAGGAAACAACCAACAGAGTAAAGAGACAATATTCAGAATGGCAAAACAATTTTTGCCAGCTATTCCATGGACTGAGGACTAACATCAAGAATCAAGACTATGAGGGCCAGGGATTTAGCTCAGATGCACCGCGCCTGCCTTGCAAACAAAAGGTCCTGAGTTCGATCTCCAGTACTGAAAAAAGAATCAAGAATATATAAAGAACTCAAAAAATTAGAACCCCCCCAAATAAAACACCCAATCAAAAAATGGGCAAGTGAAATAAATAGACACTTCTCAGAAGAAGAAGTACAAATGGCCAATAAATACATGAAAAAATGTTCAACATCACTGGCCATTAGAGAAATGCAAATTAAAACTACAATGAGATACCATCTCACCCCAGAAAGAATGGCTATCATCAAAAAATCTAATAAGAAAACATTTAGTAAACTAGGAATAGGTGAGAATTTCCTCATTCTGCTAAAAATGTGAATAAAATCTGTGATAAAGATCATGTCCTGTGGTGAAACATTGAAAGCTTTTCTTTGATACTGGAACCATAAAAGAGTGCCATCATCATTACTTCTATTCAACACTGAGCTGAGATTTTAACCAGTGACATAAGGCAAGACAAAAAGGCATTTGGATTATTGTTATTAAATAAAACTGTCATTAGTCACAAATAAATAAAAAATCATCTAGAGATAAATCAATAAGAACATTAAATAGGCCCAGGGATGTAGCTCAGTGGCACCATGCCTGCCTCAGAAGCACAAGGTCCTGAGTTCAATCCTTGATACCGCAAAAAAACAACAACAAAAGAACATTAAATAATGTTGCTAAATACAAAGCAAATATTCAAATGTCAGTTTCCTTTTTTAAGCTAGGGAAAATACATTAGAAAAATGAAAGCTCAAAAAGAAACAAGGAAATACTAATTATAATTAAATACTAATTTTTAATAATTACAAATAAATACGAATTTTTAATAATTTCAAATAAGCACTTATTTGTTAGGAATAAACCTTACAAAAATGTGCAAAACCTCTATAGTACCATACTTTATACTGGAACTACAAAATGTAATTAGTGAAATTGGAAAAGACCTAAATAAATGAAGTTATATACCATTTTCATATATTGGAAGGCTCAATATTTGAAAATTCTTTGCAAATTGATCTAGAAATTCAGTATGATCCCAATTAAAATCCTAATATTGTTTTTGTAGAACTTGACAAGTGGATGCTACAAAATATTTGGTGATTAAAAGGGGAGCAAGTGTAGTCATAATACTCTTCAAAAAGGAAAACCAGGTGGGAAGTCTTGCTTCCTGAAGCTACACTAAGGTGATATGATATTGGTACAAGAATAGACAAAATAGCTGGGTGTGCTGGTGCATGCCTGTGATCCCAGCACTCAGGAGGCTAAGGCAGGAGGGTTGTGAGGTCAAGGCCAGCCTGAGCTACATAACGAGTTCAAGGTCAGCTGGACAACACAGTGAGATCCTGTCTCAAAAAAACAAAAAATGGGACTTAGGAATATTGGGGGGAAAAAGCTCTTCAATAATGATGCTAAAACAACTGGACAATTAGCAAAGTGGAAAATATTTATCAAAGATATATCCAAAATGTGTGTGCGTGTGTGAGAGAGAAATTAAAGCTCAGAGATGGTCAAATCTCATGGTCTATGGCCTTCCTGTTTTAACCTTGGTGCTTCATAGCATCCCAGATTGTGCCACTAGTTTTGTGATGACACTGTGAATGTGGTAGGTCCCTGTGGTGTATGGTAGTTTTGTCCCTATGTATTTGGTTCTTTCAAAGCAAAAAAAAATAATCTCCCCCTTCTTTTGTGTTTTAAATAACAAAATTTACCATTCTAACCATTTTAAGTGTTTGTTGTGGCATTAGGTACATTTGCATTTTGTGCAACAAAAGAGATGTTTCTAAAGATGCAGGACTTATTAACTAGTGCACCATTATAGGAATGCTAACATATGGATGTTATGACTTATCACATGTAAAACTCCTGGGGGTTGGGGTTATCACATGGTGCACAGAATTAGTCACTGCTGCACAAACTGACATGCTGGGGGTTCGTCAAAAAGTGATGCAAGATTTTGGCAGCGGTTTTGAGAAGGTACCCAAAGACAGGTAGATGTAACTTTACTGCCCTGCATCCTGTACTTCTTTACCAGTTATGCTATGTTGTGAAAAGAAACTACCGAAGTTAATATTGTTTATTACTTATGAGTTTGATAATTTGCATGTTCCCACTTTGGAACACTAGGCAAAAACACCACTACTAGGACTAATAAAACTCCAATTTATATGCTGGAAGTAAGTGTGTATATCTTGGCTTGACTGGCTCTGAATTCAAATGTTTTCTGGGAGTTATTTTTCTCAGTTCCTAGAAGGAGTATTGTCGGGAACAATGCTACATAATTTTAGGGAAAAATCCTAGCTGTCCCACCTACAGGCCAGCTATGGCATTTTGAGACATAATTCCATTTTGGCCCCGGTCACAACTGAGACCTCAATGATCCGGTGATGCTGTGATGCTCCAGGACAAGATTACACCATCTGAAGACATCCTGGGAGGAACAAAATCTTCATCTACTCAGTTCCTCATTGTTCTTGGATTGTTATACTTTGTTTATCCCAATGTACTGAACTCTCTGCAAGTCATTTGTTACACACCTTGTTTATCCCAGTGTACTGAACTCTGTCCTGAGTCATTTGTTACATCTATTTCTCCTGGTGTACTGAATAAAAGGTGCAGTAAGCTGGGGGTTTTCGTCTTTGCTGCCCAGAGCAGCACTGATCAGACCCAAAAAGCTCAGCTTCTTCTCGAAGTCTCATTTTTTTTCTACCTTTCCTGTATAATAAGTTAATTCACCTTGTGCTACCATGGCTCGCAGGAGACTAGGACTTACTGCAGAGGTCCTAGTAACGTCCCCTTTCCCTGTTCCCGACAGTGCATGTTTTGGAAACAAAGAACAGATTCACATAATGCAGTGGTTAGTGCTGCAATGAGATGTGACTGCTTTGAAAGTATATTCTCTAATTTGCATGTTGCTCACAATGCAAATTTGGATCTAATGGTCAAGTTTTCCAAGTTGGAACCTCTCTCATAAGCAAACTAATGAGAGATGTATGAAATTTGTTCTGAATTTCAGCTTTGATTAATCCGTGGTTCTTATTTTGGTCATCCCAAGTGTAAATATTCGGGAAAACCCTTTTTGGTTTGGCTATAAATTTTGGTGTGGTGCTACAGCTCTGGTCTGCATTTGGTGGTTTCAGCCACATCAAGGTAAAAACCCAAATACTAAACATGAGGAATACAGCTTCAGTGCATCACTTGTCCTTCAGTTTGTTGAGGCACTTACAGAGGCACACCCTGGACAATACCATTTGGTGTTCAATAACTCTTTCACCTGTATTGAATTACTTGATAAGCTCAGTTCAATGGGACATCACACAACAGGTACAGTGATAAAGGATTACATTGGCAAAGCTCCACTGGAATCAGGCAGTTCTAAAGAAGAAAGAGGCTCATTTGAATATCAAATTGATGGCAAAGGCAGTATTGGCTGCAGATGAAATGATAGCAGTGCTGACACTGTTGCCTCATTTAGTGCTGGTATCGATCCCATGTCTTGTCTATCATTATT